TCCACTCCTGTAGATCTCTACATAGATGAGTTATTAGATATTAATGATCTGAATGTCGTATATAGAACCTTTAACACTGAACATCTCCTCCGTCCTGGAACACTTGTGAAGTTGATGTTCGCCTTGTTCGCTCCTGACAAAGACTCTAAATGTGGACTTTGAGGGAAGTCTTGTTAAATATTGTAATTCATTTGTGTTTATGGTGAAAGGAACAAGAACTGGTGCCGGTCCTCAAGAGGACCAGAGAGGTCTTCATGTCCATGCATCTCACTGTTCTGTTGAGGATTAGATTCAAAGATGACTAACTATTGATCACAGTGAAATGAATGGAAGGCCGTTCTGTAACACAGCATATTATTAAGTTATTAATCTCCCAAACCTTATTGTTTAAATATGTGAATTCTTGGAGCCAAACTAATCTAATCAAAATGCTTTTTGTAATTGTAATGAGTTAACATTCTGAGACACTTGCTGACTGATGAGAGATGTCATGAACTCTTGTATGTATAGAGTCATAGAGTATAGTCCACGGCTGCACCAAAGATCCCAAACGTGAACACACTGAACCTCCAACATGAAACCAACTGACATGAAGCTGAACGAGGAGGAGAAGCTCTCAGGATGTTATGTTAAAGAGAAGAAGAGATAACAGCATCACACTTCACTAGAAGGCTAGAAGACGTGACGACTGCTCAGTTCAGTCATCAGACACACTTCACTGTCTCCTCACGAGCTACAGACAGTTAAACAGCATCCGTCTCTGCCTTCAGCCTGACACTGTAACCAATGAACACGTCTTATTTAACTCTACGCTGCAGCTGTATGACGAGGAAGCTGCAGGTGCAAAGCTGTGACAGAACATATACTTTAGTGGCATAAGGAGGAGTTAGAGGGGCACACGGGAACGCGTCTGTTTCTTCTATGCATGAACCTGAAACAGCTGCTCGACTCTCGTGTGATTGTTGCTAATGAGCGTCATCAGCCGGGGACGTCCCGTTCAACGGGGCGCCGTCGGACCGGAGCTCCGGGGACAGGCTCGCGGAGGCCGGGTCCGAGGAGTTGGTCGTCGGGTCCAGCGGGATCTGGACGGAGGGGGGGG